CCCCTCACCACGTACAGGAATCCACATCGAGGGGTATACCTCTCAGATTATCCACTTTAAAAAAATGATGTATTATAAGTTTTGCTTGAGTAAATTATTCATTAAAAACTTTTTTTTATGTAGAAACAGGGTCTTATAGTGTGTGTGTATCTATATATACATATATTAGAGATGGCTGATATTGGTATTCAAAACTTTTATTTAAAAACACAAAACAAGTAAGTTGGTACTTATTTTATGTTTTTAAATACAAATTTTTGATACCCATATCAGTTGTCTACTGTATGTATATAGTTACTTGAAGTGGGTTCCTCATCATCATGAATGAGGGTCTTATAGTGTATCAATTATGTTTTTAGGGCAAATTAATTAGTGATTTTTCACACAGTCTTGTTTGCAGTAAATTATATTCTTCTTTCAGCTCAATTAATCCTGTTCAACATGATTCAACCTTAAGGAGAAATTTTCAGCAACTTCAGGAAGGCCATACACTCACTTCCAATGACCGCCCAGGTTCCAGTAATTTCCCTCCTCCACCTCCTCCTGTGGGACCACAAGAAATTCCAGGAAGACCACCAGTACCACCTCAAAGACTAATAGGTAGTTCTAAAAAATAGAAAAAAAATATTTGCCTTTTTATAAAATTATCTTGGTGTTAACCTGCTGATTGAATCTTATGGCAGAAGTTTGCTTTGCAGTAACTATGTATTGCTTAACTTTTTCAGCACGGGCTTGGTCCCTGGGACTGACCTTGTAACCATTTTGTGCTTGTTATAGTTTTTGTGCTATAACTTTTTAATTATTAAGCGCATGTTCACGAAATTTGCCAGATTACCAGTAAATATTACAAGGCTTTTATACACAAAACATCAGATTTTTTAAATTGTCTTAAGGTGTTTTAAGTAAAGTTGTGCCTTTTTGTTTTTGCATGTTGCCTATCCAACATGCAAAGTAATTTAATTTTAAGAATAAAATATTTTTATGCATCAGAAAATTTTCAACTTTCATTTGCAAAATTTTTATAACCTCCAGATAATTATCAAGCATTTTTTATTTTCACTATTAAATTGCTGTATGGGTTTGGTAGATTTAACAACTCGTAACCACCACACAAAAAATTTGCAAATAAATATAAATTATGCTTTTTTCGTTCTAGAATGACCACAAATTATTACTCAAAAACACAAATTTAGTCTAAATAGCTTAAGTGTCATAACATTATACATTTATATAGTCATGACCCATGACTATTTTATTGTTCCAACTATAAAAAAATTTTGAGTATCAACCCTTGTTTGTACTGAGGGTTTCAATATTCTTAGTAAACTCAGTGAATATACGAGTGAGAAAGCTTTCAAGATCAAGAGAGATATCTGCGAATTTTCTCACAAATTTCCTGTATCATAATTCATGTAATCTCTAGTTTCCAGAATAACATGATTTGATCATCAAATCTTGCTACTGGATACCAGTAATGTAAACAGACCAACAGTCATTAAAATATTATTTTCAAAAGACTGGTGTCTCGAGCATGATGTTACCAACTACAAAGATTTTTTGTTTTATTTTTTTTGTTGATTTATAATATTTTTAATTCTAACAGATGCCTTTGAGAAATCTGTAGTTAATTTAATTGGTATCTTGTAATATAATAGCGTAGTGACTTTTGAAAAGAATAAATATTCATACTAGTCATTGTTGAGGTTTATGACCAAATACACTGATTTAATTAAATGGCATTCTTCAGATTTTTAAGACTTTTGATTTGTGTACCTTTTCAAAAAGTAAGAAACAAAAGTAAATTTAAAATACCCCAATATTGTTTATTTTTACAAGATATATTTTTGACTGAAAATGCTGTCAATACTTCAAATTAAAAGATTGAACATCTCTCTAAGTACCACAGATCCTTTCCATATATCTTGTCTATTACTTTTGTTGATCATTCTCTTTACTTTTACGTGTAGTTGTTCCAGACCCTCCTCCACCAAGTAAGCCACTACCACCCATTCCAGTTGAAGAAAGACGAGAAAAGGAGAGGAAACCAGCAACACCTCCCAGAAATCACCACCCAGCCCAGCCTCCAAGACCTCCAGAAGGACGCAACTCTGCTATGTTTAAACCTCCACTTCGTAGACCAGAAGTAAGAATGTAATTTGGATAATAAATGAAATATAATCTCACTCATGGTTAGCAGCCTATATGATCACCTGAGTAAAAAATATTAGTAATTAATGAATAATTGATTTGATTTATTTTTATTTCTAGGCACTTTAATTACTAACTAATTTTTTATCCACTTAGTAATCAGTATCTAGTATAAAGAAATAAATAAAACATTATTAATTAATTACTAATTAAACTTAGGTGATCATAAATCTACTAACCATGACATTAAAACTTGACATTTTAGTTGTGTTTTTGTTTACAAAAATGTTTGTTATAAAAAAAATACATCGTATATATGAGAATTAAATTTTTGACTAGTTTCACCTGTGGATTGGAGGAGACGTTGTAACTGAAAATTTTGTTAACAAATGTCATGATTTAAAAGCCCCTTTTAATGTAGATGTTATTAATTTATTTATTTTGTGTGTTAATATTTTATGATTTTTTAGTTTTTTATAATAAGAGAGTTAAAAGCAGACGACTGTTGGAAGTTTTGTTTATAATTCATTGATGTCGAAAATATACAGATTTCTAGAAGATGGACAGATGATTAAGTGATAAACATATAAATAGTGTGAGATGAGTGGAAAAAGCAGACAGACAATAGCAGAAGAGAGTAAAGTCAAGGCCTAGCAATTAAAATAAGCCTAATGTTTAGTATGTTAGAGTAAGGCTTACAGTAGAAAAGTAGATAAGAATAACAATTTATTCCATCAAAGCGTGGTTCTAAGGTAATTGAATTAGCCAGAGTGCACTTTGACAAAAGGAACAGAGAATATTTTAAACAAAGAAAACCAAATGATTACTGGAAAAGCAGTATACGACTGTGGTAGCTCACACTACAATTGTAATTGAATTATAAATGGAATACTAGTGCGATAGAAATAGAGAAAGGTAGTTTGGCTTGGAAAATCAAATTCTAAAGTAAGTGAATAGGCCTAAGTGGACGTTTGACAATAGGAAGAGAACTATATATGTATATAGTGTCTATAATCTCTATAGTGTAAAGAATTTGTTGTACATATGTTTAAATTGTTTATATAACAAGTTGGAGTGTGTGCTGTTCACTTATCATTGAATTTATTGCCAACAAGTCGCAGACACCTACTGTAGAAGAATCCTAAGCCCAGTAACAACACAGTATATATTTATCCTATTAAGAAGTATAAGTAAAAGCCTTTAATTGACAATTGGCGAACATAACTATAACATCTGACAATAACTTAAAACACCTTAGAGAAATAGATTGACTATATAATTTTATTAATTTAAGCTCTTGTATTTTTCACCTTCTGTTTGATCAGTTGTTTTAGTATATACCTTACATGTTGGATTAACTTAAAACTACTACTTGTTATTAACTTCTAACTACTACTTGTTATTAACTTCTAACTACTACTTGTTATTAACTTTTAACTACTACTTGTTACCAAGTGGTCTGTAATTTGTTGGTAATGAAAAGACAGATATTTAATTGATGAAGTGAAAGTGTGAGAATTCCTATTCTAAAGAGTAGTTATTTGTTTCTTAACACAAATAAACACCAATTCTTTGACTAATTACAGGATTTAGAAATATTAGCAGCACAACTTAATGAATTAGCACTTGGAAGCAGTAGTAGTAGTGGAGCAGGAGCTAGTCCTGCTGGAATGGGCAGAGCCAATGGAAAAGGATCAGCCATACCTGCTGGTAGTGAACAGGCAACCCGTGTCAATGGAAACACTCCCGAACAAGGCCCCACAGCTAGTGTTGTGTACTCAGACTCTGATGAAGATGAAGATGATGATGGACAAGTTCAAAATGATGGGACACTTCTAGCATCAGACCCACCTAGGCCTCTGTAAGTTTACAAAATTTTAGGTTGTAGTCTTTAATTTATGTTGTTTATGTTTTAACTAAAAATCCTACAATTAAACCAAACTAACAGCTGTAAGTAATAAAGAAATTATGTGGGTATGTAATAGTATATATCATATGCATAACTACAACACTGTTACACTGTAAAATGCGGACTCGACTTTAATATACTGCAGTTCGAAGCTATATATTCCTGACTGTTGGTATGAAGTTTATCATAATATCATGGTCATGTCTAGGTAGGCATCAATGTAGTGTAACTAAGGGCCTAGAATTTACATACAGGGAAAACCAAGTTTAGTCAAAACATGTCTTGATTATTACAGGCTCTTGCTATGAAATTGGTCAAATTGACTGACCTCGTAACCATTTTTCACTGGTGCATTATACAGTCTAATATCAAATTTTAATTTTGAAAATAATGTAGGTGTGATCTATGTATAGCTGGATCATCCTTATATTCTTATTTGCATTATTTTTGACACTGTCATCCCTACACCATTTTACATTTACATTTTTATTTACTTGTACATCAAAAAGCATTTCAAAAAATTCTGTAATATTATCAAGGAAACAAGTAGTATTGTTTTTTATTCTTGGATTTTTTGCAAAAAGAAAATTATAAGCATTGAGGCAAATAGAATAGAATATTTTGATTTTAGTAATCTTTACTTTTTATTGATAAAATTAAAAATAATTTTTCATAAGAAATTTCAACAGCTTTAAATAATTGTGGTAAATCGTTGTTTTATATTGGTAAACAGATGTTTCTCCTGTAAGGTTAATCATAGGTATTGTTTTACAAGCATTAAGAAACAAAGATAGGGCTAGCATCATCTTAAACAGATTACTTAGTTGGATGTATTTGTAATTTGAATGTATTCATACTCTGAATGCTGTAAGTGATTATATCTCATCGTTGGAAACAAAATATTGTATACAAATAACTGGTATCCCACAAATAGCTGTTTCAGAAACTTCACATAATTTCTTACAACTATGCTTTTTTTCATTTGATAACACATTTGTACAATTCACCCAACATGTCTTTCACTAAATAATGGGAATACCTGTGGGTAGTAACTTCAATCCATAAGTTGTATAATTATATTTGCTTATACTAGTTTTCATTCATAAATAAATATATATATATATCATATTAGCAAGGTTTCCAGGGACGTTTATTTACCAGAACTCACTCTATAAAAAAAGCTCTTTTTTTTTTTTTTTGCTAAAAGCAAAGCACATTGCTTGTAACTAGATAAAACTGTTGTTAGTCAAATGTTTAAGTTCAAAATTTTAGATAAAACAGTTGAATTTTATTTTGAAAAACAACTCGCCTGTATTTAATGTTCACTACTCTCATGTTCTAAATAATCGTACCTGTACGATTATTAATTTTGGAGAGATTTTCTACCATATCTTTTTTTCTGTCATCTTTAATGAAAAACACAAAATTCAATTTCATACTATTTTTTCACCTTGCACTATTATTTGGAACACAAGTGTACTCACAACTATTTTGATGCAATAAATGTTTTTAAATGATTTTTGTGGACAGAACTGGTAAATTCACTCTCTTTGTAAATGAAGCTTATCCTACTGTATTTTGAACTCCAGATTTATTCAGTCTTGTATTAAATTCAACAATCTTTTTGCTACTGCTAATGGGATTAATAATTTTACAGAATATCATAATCTTTCAAAAGTAATATGTCTACACCCTAATTTTATAAATAACGTTTTAAACTAATAATGAACAACTAGCTTTATTATGGAAATGTCATTAGTTATGTGTTCCATTAGCTTAAGCACTCACTGTTATTGTAAACTATATAACAATTCCTTATTTACTATAGCATATTATTATACTGTAGTTATTATATATATCATTATTGTTATATTTTTATTTAATTCTTTTTATTATAACTGTGATCTTTATAATACCTTATTATCACTTATACATTTTGCCAATTTTTAGTTTAGTTTTAATTATTATTTATAGCTGCTTGTTCTACAAGTGTTATGTTGTCTTCTCTCTCTCTCTCTTTAATGTCCTGATATCCAACTCTATAGCTAAACAGTAACATGTCATAGTCATGTATCTTAGTTGTTAAGCTAATCTAAAGTTACAGTATAAGAGCCATTTAATGTGCATTTACTGATCACTATATGATATTTTTGTTGTTGTTTTTTGAAGTTATATTTCAGTATTTTTAATTTTAGTATCATAAATAGTATTGTTTAAAGTGTTTCATTTCTGAATTTATTTGGGGGGAGGCCAAGTTGTGTCAGTATGAAGAACATGCTCTGTATTGCTTTTACTGATTTATGAAGAAAACTTCAATCACTTTATATGATATTTTATTATATCCTGCAAAGGGTGGGTTGGAGAGGCAACTGCTTCAGGCCTTCTTTGCCCCATAGAAAATGATGCTCTTGTTTTGGAGGATTACTTTGCATTATCATATATAACTTGAAGTATATGGATTAACCAAAATCTCCTGAGCTGGCTGAACTTTTTCAAATATTAGTGAGATTAGACACATAACATAATTTTTAAAGTAATATAAACAATAATGAAGCACAGTTAGTTTTATTGAAATTGTATTTGCTAAGTGCATATAATAAATAGTATGAATACATGTAGCTTCAGTACTATAGTAAATGTTTTTGTTTAATTCCTTTAAAAACCCATAGTTTGAAGAAGTAGGGATTACTCTAATCTTCTCCATATCCAGGCAGCAGAAATAATACACAGTTGATGCAACTGGCCTAAAAAAGTTAGGTAAAAATTGGTTAACTGAATTTTATGTATACACAATGTATTTGGAAACATTAATAGTTTATTAAGAGATTACAACTATTTGTGAGTTCAGTATAATGTTTAACTTGTTAATTTGTCAAGGTGGTTTATCATTATTTACAGTATCTGTGCATGTCTTTACAAAGCAAATGAAAAATGAATTTTGATTTGAACTATATACAAAATTAATTTTTCTGAGAAAAACAGGGATTATAAAACATGGTTTATGATTATTATTTTTTTTAGTTATGCAAAAGAAACTGAAGTTTTTCAGAAGTTTAGGGAAACTCTTGGGTTAACTTATCAAATAAGAGAATTTAATTTAAAAAAATTATAACCCTTAAATTTTATGTATAGTGCTCTTATTTGTTGATTATTGAAACTCCTTATGTGCATCTTTTATTCCAATATCTTAATAATTATTTGCTCATGAAACATTAAACCTCTATTCAAGAACGTAACTGGCATCTTCCCTACATCCAATTGAACATTATATTAGTAAAGCAGCTGATTTGGCTACACACCATAGCTTTTATGTTAATTTTTTCTGTAACTGGTGTTTTTGAAATAGTTACTAAAGCAGTTCTGGAATGTGTGTAATGGTGTAGTAAGGCCTAAGGATGTTCCCTAAAGGAATTTGAATAATACAGGCTACATCCCAGAAGGTAATGTTCATTTGAAGGCTGAATTTTGCACCATGTATTATATGCGTATAATGAAACTATGGTTAGATTATGCAAACTTCCCAGCATCACAGACATAAAAACATTTTTGAATGACTGTTTTAACTTTAGCCTAAACACCAAATTATGTAGGTTATGTTTTATTGCTCTTCAAAATTGTAATAAGGAAATAGATCAGATTTCAAGTAGCTCATTGTCTTTGTGACATTAAGCTTAAAAATTAGTAGACTTCTGAATCAGTGAAAACACTGGGATTGAATATGTTTCACATCATAGATATATCCTGATATTAAAAGTGTTAACATATTAAGTCCCTCATCTCTTCTTGTGAATCAAATTAAGGGAGATTTAGAAAAATTCTAAACATATATAATATGATTAGTAATTGTTTTTTCTTTCATGACCAGACCTCCAGATGGCTACAACAATGATACCTTAAAAACTTTTGTTGTCCATGAAGGTGAGATTGTATCTTTTTTTTTTCTTTTTTTTTTTTTTTTGAGTATTTCACTTTTTCATGGAAGGACTACAGGTTACCAATAAGAAAGATAAATTGTATACATTAACCACTTTCTCATATAATATTTTATGGTTTTAGGACTTAGTGTGTTCTTAGTAGATGACTTTTTTAACCAACATTATAGCTGGTATTGTATGTTATGTTATAAAAGTCTAAGAACTTTTAATTTTTTAATTTATGCTAAAAACTAGTGACTGTCAATGTCATATAGGCTAACAATTAATCTTAAATGCTCGTCAGAAAAAAAAAAAATGTAGAATGCAAAACAGTTCTACCTTTTCACAAAACAAACACTTTCATAAATTTTACAAAATATATTTTTTCTTATGCTATTAAGTTAATTTATTTTCCTACTTATTATTCTTTGATTCAAAAATGTTATTTTTAGACAGTCAAATATGTTTTTGTTCTTTCTCTTTCATCTGAGAACTAGTACCATTTTCAACTAAAGTACTTTTTTTTGGATAAATTGAAAAGGTCTTATATATGTGTGTGTGTGTAAAAATAATAATTAAAACCAGATGATACTAAAATGATAGATTTTGAACATGATTGTACAAGCTTTTCCTAATTATTGCAGCAATCACTTTAATTAGTCTAAAGAATTAACAGATGATATGTATGCAATTCAACTTTCTTTTCAGAATCATCCATTATCCAGGCACCAAACAGACCCCTTCCTCCTACCCCTGATGATGATGAAAGTAATGATGGGACATTGTTAGTTAGGCGGGTAAGTTTGTTTTAATCATTTATTTATTTTATTTCAGTATTGCTAGTTCAGTAGTTTGAAATTAAAATGACATTTGTAAAGAGTTATCAGAGTTCTGAGAATTTGTTGAAAAAATTTATAACAAAAAAGTCCTATCTTGAACTTTTTTAATATCGGAGGTTTTCAATATAAGTATGGTAAGTTACTATCCATATTTTTCCATGGATATTACCTGTATTTCTAATTATTTTTTAATAATAAATAATAAAGCTATAAATTTAAGAACAAAAAGAAAAATCACATCAGTTTATTAGTTGGTTGAACCAATGATGAAGTGAATTGTAAGCTTAGAATGTTCATTGACTTTGTGTATAATTTTTATCATGAAGTTTATTAGAATGGTGTATTGCTGGCAATTCATTATATATTTGCTGAATCGAAAATGAGTGTATTTCTTCTCTCTTGTGTATTGAAGTTTATATTTTAAAAAATAATTTGCATATAATGGAAATTTATTTGTATTTGGAATGAAAAAATATCATTGCTGAGTACATTGTTTTACAATAGCACTACTCATATGAGAGCTTTAACTAAAAAAGTTTCAGCATTTGGTAATTTTTTGAACACTGTAGCTAGTAATAGAATAGAATGAAGTTCTTTTGTAACTTTGGTAAGTGATGGAAGGTATGGATTATACGTTACTAAAAAGTTTTATTATTGTTGTGAATGTTCTTGTTGTCTGTAGAGAATGGATAATCATATCTTTGGCTATCTGGATTAGCAACTCTGGAACATACTTCTTCTTTGTGCCTGTCGTGGTTTAGTGTTTAGGGTGCTCAGCTTGCATTCTACAGGTCACAGGATTGAAACCTGTTGCTGAACATGCTTGCCCTTTCACCCTGGGGGAATTATAATGTGACTGTCAATCCCACTATTCATAAATATAGCATAGCTCAAGAGGCAGCAGTGAGTGGTGTTGCCTAGCTGCCTTCCCTCAAGGTGTGGTTAGTACAGATAGCCCTCAAGTGGCTTTGCTCAAACATTTAATGAAACAAACAGTTCCTCTTTGCCAGGAAGTTGATCAAGAACTTCAAATTAAACATTTACAGTTCTGTTATACTAACACTATGGTTTGGAGCATACTCACTTTTTAACATAGTAGTGTATGTAAATAAATTGTTTGCTATCTCACTTTTTTACATCTCAACTGTTAATTGTTATTTTTATTATAAAGGATCACATAAGCCAACATGTACAAGTTGTAGTTTAGAACTGTAGAAAAAAAACTGTTATAGTACAAGATCACTGACTGGTTTGGGATATTAACTTGCAAGACAGAAGATTAGTTTTCCAAACTTTTCCCTCAGATAATGTGTAGAGTTTTGAAGTTTAATAACTCAGTTTCAAAACTGTATAAAGTTTGCTAAAGTTTAATTTTATGGATGCTGGGAACAAATTTTTACTTTTGTTCTTTCTGTGCAGGTCTTGCAGGACAGAATTTTTATATGTATTTTGCATAACTCTTAATATTGTAATCCATTTTCAAAATGAACTTTAGAAAGGTTTTGATATTTCATACATTATTGGTTTAGGATGTTTTTATTCTTTAAAAATATAAGGGTAATTTTTTGAATCATTTGATCAAAATATAAACTATAAAATTTATGTACTCAATAAAAACAGTTATTTTAAAGTTGTGGAATAATAATTTAAGATTACATGTGGGAGTTATTATGTATCTCTCAGAGTGATAGAGAAAGAGACCGGCCTGGTGAGGGGTTCGGTCGTTGCTTTATGCAGAGGTTAGAGTCGTCTCAGAGTTCTCCAGGAAACATTGCCAATATTGGGGGTCGATCTAGCGGAGTGCTTCCAGACTTGCTTCCACAAAATAGTCAATTTCAATCCCAGGTGCTAGTAGGGCAACAGCGACAGCTTGACAAGAGTGTTTCTGAAGAGGTAAATATGTATCATGAACAATATTTTCAAAGGCCCAGAATAAATATCAAAATTACTTTTGTATTTTAATGACAATAGAAAAACGTTACATTTATAGAAAGCTTAGAATACAGTTAAGTTATACTTGATCTACTGTACACTTCTTAATCAATAAAGTGTTTCATTTCCAAAGCACTAACTCATGTAAGTTTTATTACAGTGCATCAAAATAAAAAAAACTTTAATTTTGTATTAGTTTCTAAAACATAGATAAACAAAGATAATCAGAGAAAGGATAGGATAAAAACACATAGTTAACTCTGAGAACTTTTTTTTGTAAGTGGTTATTAACAGGTAAGTGTTCGGTGAGAAATTCTACAAAGACTTGCTCTTAAAAAAACACTTGTAGTGTACAGTGAGGTGTGTGGTAGAAATAGCTTCAGTTTTTCACTAGCATAGCATTACACACCAATAGTCAAATCAATGTTTATTGTTATATTACTTTATAAATCTTGTGTTCAGTGTAGTATGTGTTACTTAGTTCTAAGAAAACTTCATTTTGTAATTTATCAAAAATACTTTAATTGCTATTAACAGTTTGCTTGAAATAAATTCCTTAGAGCAAGGAGTTGATTTTGTTTGTAATTTTTTTAATATAACTATAGGAATAGTTTACGTGCAAGCTTACTTTCATTTTAATGAATTTTTATTTATTTTGTTTTGAGCTGTGTAATTTTAAGTTGAACTTAAGGTATCAAATAACCTAACAAAAATGAATTTAAAAATTTGCACAAGAAACTTGAATGACATATCAATTTCCCAAAATATCTTATGATTTATATTAAATTGATGCTTTGTTGTTTTTTTTTTGTAATTTTAAGCACAGCTTGTCTTATCTCAAAGAGACTTATAATTTTTACTGATCCAGCTGTATTTTGTTTTTATACTTTTCATTATTTTTTTAGTACTTGAAGAATGAGAGTATGTTTTTGGCTTACTTCTTCAGCTTTTTCTAGTTTTCTTTCTTTTTGAAGATTTTTACCAAATTGAAGTTCTTTTATACATACTTTACCATTCTAAACCACATATTTGACCAGTATCTTCTATTTTTTTAACTGGCTTTTCAAATCTTTTTCATACATATATCTGTAATCATTCTTCAACTTTTTTAGAAAAAATAATGTAGGTGGTGATATCTTTTTAAAATTTGTTTATTTTTTTGTTATTCTCCTTCTAGAAATTACCATGTTTTTATTTCTGTCATGAATATGTTTTTCAGTTTCAAATGAAGGATTCTGTTAATCTTTTTGACCCCAAGTTTTTATAGCTTATTCAGGCGATATGTTTCTCTCTCTCTCTCTGCGCAATGCTGGTGAATAATGGCTAATTAATTAATTCCTCCTTTTTTATGTTTTGTTTTTACAATATTTACCGTGGATTTCTTTGAATTCCCTATAAACTAATGTTTTTTGTAGATGTGTATTTGGTTTTTTGTGCTCAGAATTGCTTTAAGCTCCAAAAAATTTTATACTTTATATTTTTAGTTATGATTTCTAGATTTTATGCTTTTGAACCAGATTTTTATTTATTTATTTTTTCAAGTTTCTTTCATGAAGAGTGAGCTTTGGTGTTGGTTCTGTCATTTCTTTGTTTTGGAAATTTGCACAATTCAAAGGAAGGCAGCTAGTTAACAGCACTCAGTTCCAACTCTTGTGCTATTGTATTTAATTAATTATATTTGACCATCACTCTCGTAACACATGTACAGCCTCAAGATGTTGGACGTATTCTTTTGTGTCAGTGGGGGTGCCAACCAGATTCATGGTCTAAACCATATGTTTCTTAATAGAAGGCAAAAGATTGCAACTGTGGGCCCTCCCTGTCTCGTTTTTTTTTTATTGTTGTTGTTACCAGATTACTATATGATTTGACTTGGCATATCCTAGTAGTTAGGGCACTCGACTCGCAATCTGTGGGTTCAAATACCATCACTGAACATACTAGCCCTCTCATCTGTGGGGGTTTTATAATGTAACAGTCAGTACCACTATTTGATTAGAGTAGCCCAAGGATTGGTGGTAAGTGTTATTGATTAACTATCTTCCCTCTAGTCTATCACTTCTAAATTTGGGACAGCTAGCACAGATACCTCTCAAGTAGCCTTACAAAAAGATTCAATAAACAAATAAACTGTATCATTCTTCATCTTTGTAGATCTTTTTTTTTCTTGTCTTCTCTTCTACTCATCATTGATTTAACTTTACCTTTATCATTGTACAAATTCTGGTTTTGTTGATGTTATCATTCTTTTTTCTTAATCTGCTTTGTAGTTTCCATGTTAAATTGTTGCTTTGAAGGAGATCTCTGGGAATTATTTATTTGCTTGTAGATATCACTACATGAATTCTTTAAGTGAGATTTTGTTGACTTCTCTGTGTATAATTTGTAGTAATTCCCTTTCATTATCTCTACTGCCATCTCTAATAATTTTCTTCTGTAAACATTGTGTTATACAATTGCAGTGCTAAATCCAGATTCTGAAAATGGGGAAGTGAAGGGGTGACAGGCAAATGAGCTTGAGGACAAAGACTTTTTTTTTGATTTTTTAAATTATAAGTGGAAGGAAATTTATGTAAGATAAATTAAGAAGCTCCAAGGGCTAACCAGAGATTAGATAATGTTTTGTTGGGTGGGCTTTCCTTATGTATGGGTTGCCTAGTAACTGAAGATATTGTATTCTAGGGGGATGTATCTTTTACTAAACTTTTTATAATTAAAATTTTAGGGGAGGCAGAGAAATTGCAGGAATGATGCCTGCCTCCCCTTAGCATTGCCACTATATGATTATTTTAAATAATATGTTTTCTTCTGTATTAATTTTATTCCATAGGTTTTTCTTTCATATTTGCATTGCTTTTTATTGTATGATTAAATGCTAAAATATACATTCAAAGAATAAAAAATATTATTGATTTTTGCACAAAAGCTTTGTAAACCAAACATTATATGTGAACTTTACTTTGTGTGCATTTTCTTGGGGTTAACAACATTTTATTTGTTTCTACACACAATTATTTGAAGTTTGTACTTGGCTGTCAAACTAAATATCTTTGGTTGTTGTTTCAGAATTTTCTGTAACAGTTTTTTTCTTTGCTGACACAAATTTTAAAATTAAGTTTCAGTTTCATTTCCATCTCATTGTGTGTTATAAAATTAGGTAGAAATAAAACTAAAACACTTCTCTTCAAGTGACTGTTTTTATCTAGATAAAAAACTTCACTCAACTACTTTGGTTTTATAACATGCTAATGTTTGGTAATTTAGTTTCTAACACCTAACTATGGGTTAGAATAATCATGTTCATCCTTTGTATATGGAAAGCCCTTAGAAGAAATTAGATAATATTATTAGAAGTCAAGCTTGGTGTCATTTATTGGTCAGAACATTAGTCTAAACTTTATTACATTGAAGGCTGATTAATCAACTCATTCTATTGTAAATTTTTGTTTTTACCATATTTACTTGGGTTTCTTTGACTTTCTCTCTATACTGTTTTTATAGAAGTATATTTTGTATTTTACAATTATACTCGAGACTATTTTACTATATATAGAAAGAAAGATAGATACAATTTATATATATATATATATATATATATAGCTACAATTATTAATTTCCCTTGTTCTTAGTTCACATAACTGTGTTTATCAATAAGTTGTACAATGCACTGGTATTTTATATTTGCTGTAAATGGAGCATTATATCTTATTTTTCTACTACCATAAGTTCATTAATATATATGATTGTGAAGTATTTTCTAAATATACTTTATTACTTCCCACAACTCAGCCAAATTTTGTGATCACTATTTGACCTTTTTAGTTTCAATATAAACCCATACAACCTTGATATATTCATATTTGGACTTTGTGCAGGCCAAGCAATGGTTGCAAGTGTTCTGTTGGCCTCTTTTTATGTACCAGGTATTGATTCACCTACCTCAACCACATACTTGGAATCACTGTTTTACTGAAAGACAAGTCTCTGTCAAACATATCTTGTTCCTGAAGGCAATGACATGAGGGATAAGCATCTGTGTGTATTTGTTATTATTCAGAATACCATCAATTTTGTATAGAGTTCAGCTGAATAATTTGGATATATTATAAAGAGTATCCTTCTCCAGCTTTGTTCATCTCATTGTTTGAAGTCTGATGTTCATTTCAGCTTTTTTGTTTGACTAACTCTTCTAACAGTAGTTTTGAACAGCTACATATCCATTGGAATCACTTCATTCTAATGTGTACCTTAGTGTTCTGGAGGTAACATTCAAAGTTGTATTTACAGCTAGGTCATTGAAGAGATTGTCATCTACCATGCAAAGTGCAGAATCTAAGTTACTTAACATCTCTCTTGAAGAGTTTGGGCTTTCCATTTCTAATACATTTATTATCAACAGTACTAGCTTCACATACCCTCTCCTCTTCAGAATTTCTATACAGCTCCTACTGAAACATGAACTTTTACCTCAATATTTTACAAGGAGTAGACTTCACTGAGTAAAACTTTGATTTCTACCCAGTTGTTATGTAGCATTTTTGTTCTGGGAGCCTTGAATGCCTTATCATATCACTCCTGGGAATAATATGATTGCCTAAAAAATACAGACAGTCATACCTGTACTCTGGTGTGGATATGGCTGATTGGTTGGATGATAGCCAACCACAGTGTAAGCTATGAACTTAGAACTGTACTCTGGTTTACATAATTATTTCCAATACTTTGTAATGACTGTGGAAACTTATAAGTTTCAATCACCCTCATGCAGAATACTAAGATATGAATGTTACTGCTTTCTGTGGATAGGTAAAAAATTGACAGTTTAGCAGCAGTAGTTTGGGCTTTCTTCCTCAATATTCTTGAAACTAGATTATTTCATACATATACAACCTTTAACTTTAGTGATCTAATATAGATTATTAATGAACTAATTAATCTGCATTATTTGTAAAATCCACGCTAATTTTTGGATGCATCACTGATAAAGTATGTTGCAAAGAATTAAAGTTAAAAATGTTTTTGTAAGATTTAGGAAGTTCATTAGAATCAAAATAATTATAACATCTCTTCCTTGTATAGTAACATTTTGTTTTATTTTTAATTCTCAGAGAATTTCCAATAGTACATATTTCATAAATTCACATAGTGTTGGGTACATTTATTACTACTAAAGAGTAAAATGTTTATTATTACGTATTTTGTTATGTTAAGCTAGTAAAAACAAAATTTGCTGGAATTGTTGCTTTTTGTTCATAGTATCGACAAGCAGTGAGCAAAACTCCACCTCAGTTACAGCATAAGCAGCGTTCCTTCCTGACATTTGGGTTTGGAGCTGGTAGTGGAGGGCCTAATCCATCTCCTAGAAGAGAATCCCATATCAATGTTAATGTGACACCCACTTCTCACGAAACTTCCACTGATACTCCTGAGATAAGAAAATACAAGAAGAGGTTCACTTCTGAAATTTTATGTGCAGCTCTTTGGGGTGAGTTCCTAGAAATTAATTAAATTCAGGGCATATTCAACTAGATTCTTATGTTGGCTAAATATCTGTACATGATTTTTCTTGAAACTAAGTTTATGCAAAAGTTTTAATTCTGGAAAATGGTTTCCAGTGAAAAGTACTGTGTGAAATCATAGAGGCACATTCCAGAATTACCACAAAAGACCTGCTGAATGTCACCCTTATGGTTGTAACTGAAAATGTCTGCACTAAAATATTATTCATCTAAATGATATCAAGTCATGTATTTTGATGTACAATGGTAGTTTATAGGACGTTGAAATCTGTCTTACTCTTAATTTATTTAGTAACAATGATTTCAGCAACTGCCCTTCATCGGATATGGTATGAGAATGAAGGATCACTGTATGATTGAAAAGGAATATATCCTTATTTGTAAACTTTCAACTCAAATTAACAATGTATACGTAACATTAGAGAGAGAGAAATATTAAACCAAAACCATCTGATGCCACATAAATAATGTGAATCATATGTTCACTCTTATATCAAACCTGACAAAGAGCTATCACTTAAAGTAACTGTTAAACAGAAAGCAGTTTTTCATTCCTGAATATGTTTTCAAGAAAAATACTTCTTTTGTACAGTAAGATTGTAGTTTAATGAGCCTTTCAGATCAATAAAGCATTAATGCTAAATCAATGGATTCCAGGTGTTAATCTTTTGATTGGAACTGAACATGGTCTGATGCTGCTAGACAGGAGTGGCCAAGGAAAGGTTTACAATCTCATCACCAGAAGGAGGTTCCAGCAGATGGAAGTATCTGAAGGCCAAAACATTCTTGTCACACTGTCTGGGAGAAAGTCACGTGTGCGTGTATACTATTTGTCCTGGCTGAAGAACAAGATTTTACGAACTGATGGGGTAGGTGGAAGTGTGGGTTTAACAACTCTTTTTATTATTTTATAGTTTAATCCACCATATAAAGTTTGGACAAAACTGATCATTTAATGGAAAATCAATGATGCTCCTGTTAGAATGTTTTTGGTCAAGGTGACTCAACTGAATAATTAACTGAAGTGTGATAAAAGATGGAATGATGTCATGGTAGACTACCAGAATGGAATTGAAGTATTTTGCTTAGTTTTCAAAGAATTGTTGCAGTTGTGATTCATGTGCATTGTGATATATATATATATATATAAAGAGGTTAAGAAGGTTTTGTTTTGACAAAGGAAACTATTTGCTATTGATAAAGTGAAATAATAAAAATGTGATATGAAATCCAGTTAACAAGAAAATATTAAGTAGGTAAGATTATAATTATAAAGAAATCATGGAAAATTATCATATTTAAATAATAACTTTATAGAAAGATTAGAGGTGAAAATAAAGAATTTGCATTGCATATGGGGAAGAAGAAACTTATTGGTCAGACACAGAACTATTAATTGTTGAAGATCACTGATTCCAGAATCTAGGTTTATTGCATAAGATTGGATGTTATTTAAAGTAGCAATGCAGTAGACTTCTTTCATTTCTTTATCAGCTTCACTTTTGGAACCAGTTTCAATACCTCTGAGAATCAGCAGGTTTGTTGAAGTGTTAAACAACAAGATCTTTTTCAGTGTTAATAGAATATTTATGGTTGTTGAAACACACTGAAAGAGGCATATGGGTCTGTTCTACACTGGTGATTATAATTTTTTAACTGTATGAGGTAAATGGTGTTGTGCAAGTTTTTTCGTTAGTAATTTGAAAGGGTTTTTGGTCATATTCATTGAAAAAAGAGTTGGTAGTTTTTACAAACTTGCATCTTAGACAACAAGCTTTATTACATGGATGAAAACCATTCTATGGTGGGGTGTAATTCACTTTTCCATGAACAAGGATATCTTTAATACTTCTTCTTTTCTGGAAGGAGACAATGGGAACTTCAGAAAAAAATTGTCTCAGATGATCGTTCAGTTGAAGTAGATGGAAATGTTTTTCAGAATAAGCAAAACGTGTCTGTGATTAAAGTGATAAGTAATAACGAGAGAAATTCTGTTTGACTCTTTAGTATTACACTGTTTAAAGATGGTTTTTTATTGAGTGTTTTTAGCTTTTTTAATCTGTCTGTCAATTTAAGCATCTTTATAACCTATTTTTAACATGGTTTGTTTAAAATTCTCAATGTTTTTTTTCTGAAATTGTTTTACCAATACAGATTTTATTGACTTGGAGTACTTGACTGCAGGTAGTATTTTATTTAGTGTGGGTGGGGTTGCAGCTTTTGTAGTGAAGATATTGTGGTCTGTCAGAAGGTTTTCTGTATAAATAATTGTGTAAAAGTCTGTTATTTGAGGAGATAGTGATATCCAGAAAGTTAATTTGGGTTGGGAAGTAATCAAAAGTAAACTTGATTTTTTTGTGAAAGGTGTTATCATAAGAAAAAAAGCCTTTTAAGTGATTCAGAACCAGCTGTCTAAATGAAAAATATGTTGTTTATCTTTAACATTTCCAAGTATGATGTTTCACAGAGCTTTGGTTTAAAGGCTGGCTTTTGATTTGGCCTATAAATTTGTTGCCTAGTTAGGAGTTTTGGTATCTATTGTAATGCCATTAATCAGAAGGTAATGTTTTCTGTTGAATTCAACATAATTTAAAGATAAGACTGGCAAGATAAGTTACTTTTTAAGATACTGGTGGATTGGATACTCATGTGAAATATTAGTGTAAAGGGAAAAAATCCATCGTACACAGAGTAAATATCTGTTGGCATTGGTTTCTGTTATGATATTTATAAAGTGTATCATGTTCTTAGTATAAGAAGGAAGACTACAGGTCAACAAAAACAGAAAGTTTCAGAGTGGCCATGTTTGTGTTAGAAATTATGAGATGGCTGAGATTATTAGGTTTGAGTATTTAGGGCAAGAGATAAAATCTACACGGACAGACCTGCTTGAGTGTCAAGTATTGGAAGGTTTGTTTGTTAATGTTTTTTGTTTTGGAGTTCTTTAAGTTATCACTGATGGTTTTAGTAAATTGAGTTTTAGAGTCCTTTGAAGAAATTAGTTGGCAACTAGCTTCACCAATACAATCATCTTTATTTAGAATATCAGTAGCCCCACCCTTGTCCACTGGCTTTATTATAATACTATTGTTAGATTTAAGATTCTTTAGAACAGTTCTTTCTTGTTGGTTCTGAATATTGTGCCATTGCTTAGAATTAATGTTTTTATTATGTCACTTTTTACAGCTTTTATATAACTTTGTAAATGTGGTTCTCTATTTAATAGAAGTGTCTAAGGTTACCTTTTTTTGTAAGATGAAATATGTTGGTTGTCAGTAGGATAAATTTGTGGAGTTTCCAAGAAAATTTGTGTAGGTCAGAAGGAATAACAGATTCATTAACAAAGTTATTCTTCAGACAAAAGCTAAAACTTTTACTGAAAGAATTATGTTTGAATAATTAATCATGTTGAAAACTTGGAGAGGGATTTATTTATTACTTGTAGGATTTATCAAGTCACAATTATTATTTACAAGTGTTTTAGTTTGAGAGGGTTCATGTCCAGTAAAAAATGAAGTGTTTTTAAACATTTGGTTCAGTTGCTCATTATTAAAAGGTGGAGGATTGTTAAAAACGCTGTTAAAAGCAGTCAAAAGTTTTGAGTGGTGTAATTTCTAAGAAGCTGGATTTGATTATTCTTTTAAGGGAGGAATGAGTCAATTCTATGTTTTAGTTATTAAGTTCTTCTTCTAGTGAGAGGTTGTAGAAATGGCCATAATAGGAAATTATATTATCTTGAACATTAACAGAATTTTGACATGGTACCTGAGATTTAGGTTAAAGGTCATTAGGAGATGGACTAAGGTGTTTTGATGGAGAAAGCTCTGCAAGAGAAGTGGAGGCATGTTTGTTTGGTGAAGATTATAGTGTCAAGCATGCAGCAGTTACAGTGCCATTGGTTTTGGGTAGTTTCAAAGATAGAGAAGTGGAAAGTGAAGGTGTTATGAGCATGGAAGAAAAGGCAACTGAGACATAAGAAGAATGATCATTGTTAGTTGTAGAACTAGATATTGGTGGGAAAATGTGATTTGGGTTGGTTTCATTAGAAGAACCAAAAGAATGATTTGGATTATTGCTGTGAGAAAGTGGAGAAGTTATTAGATGGGAAGATTGAGCAGCAGAGGTACTAGAGGGTGAAATGTTGGTGGCAGTCAGGTTGGGAGGGATTGTGGGGTTTGGATAAGTGAAGTTAGAAGAACTACTATTAACAACCAAGTGAGATGGTTTGAGTAACTTGAAAGAGGAAGACATGATTGGGAGAATACTGTGAGAAGTAAAGTTTTTGAATTTAAGGTAGAGATACCAGAGAAGCTGAGGTGAAGTCCATCACATGTGAGAAAAATTAGTGAGTGGCGTTAGGTTTGTGTGATTAATGAAGGCAAGTTGGGGGTTGAGTTTGCAAGGGTTTTGAGTAAGTTCATTAAAATGCTGAATTTTATTGTTGAGTTTGTGACTAGTGCACTTTGCATGTTGAAAACATCAGATGAAAAGTGTCTGTTTACATGTCTATCGATTACACTAGAGGTAATATGTTTCATCGTCTGAGGAAACAGATATGGGGTATGATGTCATAAGAGTTCTAAGAAGCAGTCTTTAGTAGACTTGTAAGTCTGATTCAAGTCATTAATGCCAAAATGAATTATCAAAAATCGAATTTATTCAGCAAAGGAAATGGTTATAGTTATGGCATTGTTTATTTTAGTTTGACTAATGGATTTGAAAAGGAATGGATGTCCATTAATAAATATTCTTGTCAGTACTTGAGCAAAGAGTAACCTGAATTACCTTTGTTAGGAAATAGAAGGGTATACTTATGTAAAGATACATTCATAATGTAAGGAAAACATGTAAGCTCAAATAATCAATTAAAGACATAAATATGAAACTCTATAACTCAAGAGCTTTCAAAAGGTGCAAACTGGAAATGAATAGGTAATATAAATATAATGAAATTCATATAGTTTCAAAAAGCTAACAACACTTAACAAAAATCCATCATTAAATAGTGAAATACTGAAGAGTCAAAAAGAATTCCCCTTGTTATAACCTGTCATTTTAAACTCAGAAATGTTTTGCTTATTCTGAACAAATATTTTCTTACACTACAATTCTATGATTGTGTGAAACATTTTTTCTGAAGTTCCCATTGTCTCCTTCTGGAAGAGCATAAGTTTTAAAGATATCATTGCTCATGCAAAAGTGAACTACACCCCACCACAGAATAAAAAAAGCTTGTTATTTAACCCCAACAAGTTCATGAAAATTACTAACATTTTCTGGCAAATATGACCAAAACTTTAACATTACTAAAGAAATTATTTACAAAGCATAACACTGATACAGTGTGAAAAAAGTGCAATCACAGTATATAGAATAGACCCAAATAAATCTTAGAGAGCATTTCAGCAAAGTAAATCTTCTATTAATGTCAAATGAGTCCTCACTGTTGCCCAACACCACTGGTTAAATTGAGATTTTGAAAGAGGTGGTACTCCTTTTTGTGACCCACTTTGACATTCCAATCAGATGACTATGAACATTAAAAGTTTTAACCCTCAAGAGTCTGAGCTATAGGGTTTCAAAGTTTTATCTAGTAGTATCATTATTCATGTAATTTTTTTATAAATGATTATATTTTGGTGTGCAAGTAAAGCAAAATACTTCATCAATAAGTAAAGTTAAAGTATTAAAATTGGTATTATTTACTTATGCATTTCTTGTTATCAAGAATAATTGATAGGATAATTTAGGTTGTGCACAAAAATTTTTTTTTATAAATGAACTTATCCTTACAAGGTTCTACAGTCATACAGTGAAACAAAATGCTATTGTGAAAGAAATTATTTTATGTTTATTAGAAGGCATTTTTTAGCTAATTTGTTCATAAACAAAATGAATACTATTCTAAATTATTTTAAATAACATACTTTCAGTGTATAGTTCTTAATGATAAGTAAACGTTTTTTATTTTACCACTTGTATTTTAATACATTTGATTCTATATATCTGTAAGTATTTTAACTAAGTTATGAAATACGTATCAGTTTTCTATGTTCCACTTGAATACAAAAGGATTAAACTCCTCTTTATAGCTTTACAAGATAGTATAAAGAACTCTGCATGGGCAACAAAATCACATCACATCAAAACATTTAGAACAAAGATAAGTTCTTATATAAAAAGAAAAATTATTGTGTATAACCTAAGTCATTGTATCAGTTATTTTTAATAAGTAAAATTATAGTAAAGCTATAAAAGATACAAGAGCAATAAGTAGACTTTTGCTAATTTCAGTATTTTAGAGTATATGTTTTGTGACATTTTATTTTTAATATTGACAAATATTTGTTAGATTGCTTTCAAATAGTTACCTTAAGTGTTTTTTGTTGTCATTGACAGCAGTTAGAAAAAAGAAGTGGCTGGATTAATGTGGGTGAACTACAGGGAGCAGTTCATTTCAGAATAGGTGAATCAGAAAATTTGAAACTTTATTATTCATTGTTTCAAGCAAAATAAATAGCCTTACTCAATGAAATTCATAATGCTATTTTTCTGAACTACATATAGTTTAAGGAATTTACTTAGTTGTCTTAAATCTCAGAAAACTGCATCTTGAAACAAATCAAGCAAAATAACTTGTAACAGTTATTTTTCATTAACTCTTTTAAACCCATAATTTTTTGCACATTCTGCCAGAATTATTTTCGTGATGTCCTAATAATTATCAACATACCTTATAAAATTTTTGGTCCGTTTATAAAAGGTGGATAATAATATGGTTTGGATTAGTTTTCAGCCAAAGAGACAAATTTTTTCAGATGCTGTCAACGTCTGATGGGTAAATCAGGATTTTCAGGCCGGATGCTAGCGTTTGCTAGCATTTAAGGAGTTAATATCCACATTTATTTTATTACTAAAACAAGATCTCCAATGCCTCTTGTATGTGGGTTCTTTGTGTATTTTTGGCTAAAATAAATAGATTATTTAACTGACACAAAAAAAATTTTTCACACACTAAATTTTGTGCAGACATCTTCAAAATATTGGGAGTATTTATATATGTGCTTAATTGTTTAGAAATGCTAAAGATTATTGTGCATAAGAAATTATTGATGGATAATTTGAATTTATATCAATATGTCTTTGTAAAGCAATCATTTAATTACTTTTTTTTTTAATCCAGCAGTGTTTTTGAATTTTCATATTTAAGAAAGACCACTAAGCAAACATCTACTTGTGTCATAGAGTGAATAACATGCTCAGAAAGAGGTGTTGGAGTTGTGATAGAGACTCTTTTACATTTATTCAAAGAAATTTTTAACTTGTTTTTCTTGAACAAAATAAACAGTATTCTAAATTTTTGTAAATAAAACATTAAAACACTTTCAGCATAATATTTATTAATGATAAATAAACTTATTTTAAATTTACCATTCCTAATTTTACACATTTCATTCTATAGTTGTACATTTTTTAATTTAGTTATTATGTAAATGATAAAATATTTATTAGTTTTTTTTCTGTTCCAGTCAAATATGAAAGGATCAAATTCCTTGTCATAGCTTTGCAAGACAGTATAGAGATCTATGCATGGGCACCAAAACCTTATCACAAATTCATGGCCTTCAAGTCCTTCCCGGAATTAGTACATAAACCGCTTCTGGTGGACATGACGATTGAAGAAGGTGTTCGGTTGAAAGTAGTGTATGGGTCAGCTGAAGGATTTCATGCAGTAGATGTTGATTCAGGTTCTGTGTATGATATTTATATCCCTGCTCAGGTAAGTTGGATTTTTAAACCGTAATTTTTAAGGGTTAATATTTTGTTGATGAGAGTTGAGAATGCTGTATATGAATTGTTTGAGTAAAAAATCTTTAGCAATTCTATAAGCTACGGAGGAAAGAAGTATTACTAAATTGCCTTAATCCAGATCATCAAAACCTAATTATCAGTAGTTACTTGTTCTTGCCTAGACTATCTGCATGCTGACGTTGCATCACATGCTTGTTAAACAAGTTTATATTCTAAAAATGTTTTTATACAAATGTATGGATATATACATCCTTCTTCCTAATAGTAATTTTTTCTTATTATTTGTAGTCTAACTTACTAAATCAGATCCACGTAGTTCAACTTAATAAATTGCATAAATTAACCTAACCGGTTCTTTGGCATTGATAAAGTTTTTAGTAATTCTGCTTTAGTATAATCTATTTTGTAGTCCACAAATTACATTATGTTAAAGCAGCACTTGCAAGCTTTTTGTTAAATCATATATTATGCAGTAGCATTTGTGTGAGGCTCATTTACACTATTAAATTTTTGTTCCTAAAGTTGAAACAGTTTTACAACTTTGAACTGTAACTGTTAAATTGTAATATCAGTTAACCTACAGTAATTGCTCTGACTTCTTTTTGAGTTGAAACTATTCAGACAGACTTATCATTTGGATGTTATCTGAACATTTTGAAGACCCAACATTAGCAGTTGAGTCTAATTTTGTTGTTGGATAAATTTTTCAAGAATAATATGTCCTTTTATTAACTGTTCTGCAAAACTGTGGTCATATTAGTAAAGTAGGAATGCTTAAATTACTTAATATTAAAACTAGCTAATACTTTTGTTTTCCTTTACAGCATTGTACATGAAAAAATTAAACTTAGCTGTTTGTTCAAAACCTGTATTGAAATTGTGGAAATGTGAAAAAAAAAGAATAAAACATGTTAATGTAGATAAAAGTTATAGAAGATAGTTTTTAGAATCTGGATTAATGCTGGACTGAAAATCTTACAGAGTCAAGGTCCTATTACACCTCATATCATTGTTACTATGCCCAACTCCAAAGGGATGCAGCTGCTACTGTGCTATGATAGTAAGTTAAAAGTTCATCTGTTGCTTGATACCACTTTCAGTTAATCACATATGTAAAAAGAAACTAATTTTGAAAATCATGAAATAACATCAGAAATTTCATACTTAAATACATCATTTGAAAACATTTTATGCACCACATGATCTCTTAGCATGTAGCATAACAAAAACAAAATTTATAAAATTAGGAGACATCTTATAGTAACTTAAAAAAAAAACTTCAAAATTATATAACTAGACACTTCATAAGTCATTATGTGAAGTAAAGAATAACATTGGCATTTATCAGGGTTGTGAGATAAGTATAGTCAATCTAAGAAACTTTGTTGGAGATGAACTAGTCTATTGTCCAGAAGTTCGTTATGTCATTTATCAGGGTTGTGAGATGAGTATAGTCAATCTAAAAAACTTTGTTGGAGATGAACTGATCTAGTGTCCAGAAGTTGGTTGTGTCATTTATCAGGGTTGTGAGATGAGTATAGTCAATCTAAGAAACTTTGTTGGAGATGAACTGATCTAGTGTCCAGAAGTTGGTTGTGTCATTTATCAAGGTTGTGAGATGAGTATAGTCAATCTAAGAAACTTTGTTGGAGATGAACTAATCTGTTGTCCAGAAGTTGGTTGTGTCATTTATCAGGGTTTTGAGATGAGTATAGTCAATCTAAGAAACTCTGTTGGTGATGAACTAATCTATTGTCTAGAAGTTGGTTGTGTCATCTTTTTTGACCTGATATCTTCATCAAGTAGGTGTTTCTGGCAGAAATAAGCTGTATTATAGGCATATCTAGTGGATAGCTTGAATAAGGCAATGTTTATTTAAGAAGAAATTATATATCTAAGACTATTTTTCTTCATTTTATTCTAAAGATTTTCACGGGTTAGAAAATAGCAAAGGACAACCTTCCACCAATATCATCAACATGATGATCAATCACTCATATGAAATTTTATTACATTTTGCAGTTAAATTTATTACAGTGGACTTACAACTTAAATATTTTCACAGAAAACCATTGAATATAAAATATGTATAATCTGAAATCAAATTTTTCTTTTCACTATTGTCTTTAACTACTTGTTGATATTGTCAGAATACTTAAATTAATATAATACTGTATACTTTTTTTGATTTGTTGGATTTGTTTTTTTTTTCATAGAAGCACACTATACAGAAGTATTATTGTCATTATGATCCATAAATTTCCAACATGTAAACTCTTACAAAGAAAATATCTAACTTAAATTAGGCCTACTGCAGGTATTAAATCCTAGATCTTGTAGCCCTCACAACTTGGTTTAAAGCAGGGTTTGTTACAGGGTTACATTAAGAAAACATCCAAATTAAAAATTGTTCTCATAAACTGTGTAATCAGTTTAAATCTATTTTGTTCTAGATGAGGGTGTATATGTCAACACATATGGAAGAGTCAGTAAAAACATAGTTCTTCAGTGGGGTGAAATGCCAACATCAGTTGGTAAGTTTTATAAGTGTCAGCACCAACATTATTTTTCCATCAAGGAAATCCCAATGTAAATTGGAGAGTATTATACCTGTTCATATAAATATGGTTTTACATTGCTCAAAACATTAATTTCAATTGATAAGTTTATACCTATCAATAAAAAGTAGTGCTTCAGTAAAATAAGTCTTGCATGACTTTACATATATCTGTCATTGACAACTGCTTTGTTATTTTGTGAGGGGTGTCTCAATATGAATTGGTGAGTAAAAAATAAGTGTCAAATGTCAGTACATGTAAGGTTTTTCAGAGAGAAGGGGACAAAGGAAGATTATTCAGGAGCACCCCCTGATGATTAATTATTTCTCTAGAAATAATTAATTTTCATCAAAATAACTGCCAGTTAGTTTAGTTTAGGGGAACTGCTAAAGTTTGGGGAACTAAAAACATGTACCTCGTTAATATTATATTTAGTTATTTATAAGGAACACATTGTCAATTTGTACAATGTAATTTAAAAATATTAATATCTGTTAATGAAGAGTTTTAGTCAAATTAAATGTAGCACAAAATAAATGAAAATATATTATTTATGCGTAAAACTAGATTTTTTTCAACAGACAATGGTGTGTAGTTTAAACTTCCTAGAAAAACAGATTAATTACTATCACTTAATATCTTGTTACACTTTGGAAATAGTGGGGTACTGGCAGAAAAACTGTAGCTACAACTTTTATAAGCTATAGTTTTGTGGATAAGTAATTTTAGCTTTGTTTGTACCTGGAATACTTGTTTATGGGTTGTACCTCATGATCCATGCATTTCTTACATTCCTTTGTACAAAATTAATTACTATTTAATGATTGAATCTTCTTTTTTTTTCTGCTACTGATTTATTTTTTTTTTTTTCAGCTTACATTGGGACAGGACAGGTGATGGGATGGGGCAACAAAGCTATTGAGATTCGGAATGTGGAAACAGGACTGCTTGATGGAGTTTTTATGCACAAAAAGTCTCAGAAATTAAAATTTCTCTGTGAGAGAAATGACAAGGTGAGGTGTTAGTTATTTTAGTATTGTTGATACTGAGTGCAGGGTTTCTACATATGTTATGTAGGGTTAAAGACCAGCTTGAAATTATGCTGCTCCAGTAGGATGAAGCATCCTTTAACTTCAGACTTTATGTGAGGGAGGTTTTAGAAACCACATTCCACAGTCACTAGATTGGAAAAGAAGGGCCAAACCCATTTGCCACCAAACTCATTCAACTTGACACCTTTGGATTTCTTTTCATGGAAATGTGTAAGATGCTATTTACAAGATTACAGTTGTAAGTCTTGACAAGTTGAAACAGAGAATTGTAGATTTCATCCAAACAGTGAACCTACAAGTGGATTATCAACTACATATCTGCTGATCCACTAGTGATTTATTGATGATAAGCATATGGATTATAAACTGGGAAAGTTTTTCTGTATTTTAATAAAATCTGCATGCTTCAGTCACTGAAAGAAATGAAATACCAATCAGTCATAGTGTTCTGAGGATTGACAATCATGGTTCTACATTGTTTTCTATTCTTTACTGCCTGCATCAGCTTTCCTAACTAAATATTATTATCTATAAGCCTTTTATCTAATGTCATCAAGCTAAATGAGTATCTGCCTGCATCTATCTTTTCCTCCTTTAATATTACCTTTCAGAATCCCTGCCAAACATTCCCTTGTATCTAATTATCTGTCCAAAGTAATACATCTTCTATTTCCTACGTGTCCAGCATTTGTCTTTTTCCCTTAGAAATGGAAATACAACTGTGTAAGATCTTGCACAACAATTGTAGACATCCTAAACTTCCAGTTTTTAACATACCATTAATTTTCCAGATTTACTTATATTATAATTTTATGTCTTTTATTTTAGTAAAAAAATATAATTGATTGTGTTTCAAGCAATTTTTATAATTTATTGTACAATTATTCCTGCTTTTGAACATTGTGTCATTTTGATTTAGGGATAATTATTTAGATTGTTGCAAAGTACTCCATAAATCTTAAGTGGGGCTTTATCCTATTACATGAAAAAATAAATTATGTGATGCACTATTATTATAGTCAACAAAAATAGTTAGGCTTTAGGCACAAATGGACTTAGTTTAATCATATTCTGATTTAAAAACTAGCAAGGGTTTATTAGTAGATTTTAGCAAAAATGGCTTAGTTAAATATATTCAGTATGGTGGTGTACTTATAAAGTTCACTAGTTTTTAATCTGTCATGTATTCAGGATTCTTGATCAGTTGACACCTTCTTGATTACTTTGAAGGGTAGAAGAACAATTATCAGAAATTATTTCTTCTGAAAGTTTAACGTAATATTACAAACCCCAAAACTGTCAAACAATCAGATTATCACTTCATTCATCTGTAGTACAAATGTGGATATGAAACCTAACATTAGAGAGACATATCAATAAAACTATCTTCAAAAAATATGTCAAGTAAACATAAGAAAAAGAACTGCACTTCAGGGTAACGAACCCTCAATTTCAGCATTATAAAATCCATAAAATTTACTGTTGACCACCTCAGAACATTTGCAGTTTGGTGTGTGTGTGTGTGTGTATATATATGTTATAAAAGGTTTGGTATAAGCAACAAACACTGCAGCTTTTATTTGATAGGAACATCATTATATTCAATATATTTTTAAAAATACACTTATAGTACATTAATAGATTGCAATTATGAACTAGGTAATGTGTTTTGTAAGCCTGAAAAATTTGATGATAGTTTTATTTTGTACATTTGTAAATGTAATTATATCTTATTTTCAGGTTTTCTTTTCTTCAGCGAAAGGAGGGTCATCATGCCAGATTTATTTCATGACCTTGAACAAGCCAGGAATGGCTCACTGGTAGACAGCGGAACTAAGGGTGACGTAATTAAGCAAAACAAGAACATTAGTTTCATCAAAGTCAACAAACATTATTCAAGCAGAATACTGTCCTTGCCATCATTTGTTCCAGCCTGGGATATGTCTAAGCAACATTATTTTGTTACCAGCTAGATTCGAGCTTAGTCATTTTGTTTAATTTTTTGTAAATGCTCATGAAGCGCCAAACACATGAAGCTGAGTATATACGTGTGTGTGTGTGTATGAATGACTGCCTGCATGCTATGTAAATATTGCTGTTCATATCTAAGACTATTGCTGTTTTTCTTTAATGGTGGAACTCATCTTGTAACCATTGGCTATGAAACTGAAGACTAACCTGGAACTGTGTCTACTTATATAATAACTTACAAAAGAAAAAAAAAATGCTGTGTAGTGTGCTGAAAAATATTCCACAAAAAAAACTGTCTTTAATTTACTTCAGAAACTTTGTACCATTTTTTTTATGGTGAGCCTAGTTTGAAGAGAAATTAATACAAATGTTTGACATGTCAATTTGTCTGTTTTGGATTTTATTTGTTAAACTACATAATACTTTTCAGTAGTTTTGAAGCCAAATATAGATTACAAATAAAATCATGTTAATTATTTTAATATTCTTACTGTTCCTAATCTAATTTTTCTTCTAGCTGATAAACTACCAACCAATGACAGTTAATCTTGACTAATCAGAACATTTATATTTCAGAATTGGTGTAACAGTCGTTTTTAAAAAAAAAAGTGTTTCTGTGAGAGTGCAGATCTATGTCTTCAATGCTTTGAAAGGTATTTATCATTCTAGGTTGTAGTAATTATTCAAAATCGTTTTATTTTGCAAAACAACATTAACTGAAATCTAATAATTAAATATTCATATTAACAAAACAGCCCAATATTCATAGAGTTCTGTGGAATGCAGTTCCTCATATTATAGTACTGTGATCCACAGTGCTTTTGGAAAAACAAATTTCTTGTGATCATAAAATTACAATTATCATACATATCAGTTGAATATATAGATAAGCACTCTCATCACATTACTACTTTGAAAGTATGTTGTTTTTTAATGACTATCACCATTTATTTCAAGATTTTATTTCTGTTCTGAATGTTTTAATTAATTGTTTCCTCAGAATTTTTTTTTTTTACTATTTTGGATAAGGTTTTCAATTTTTTATGAAACTTTTTTTTGTTCTCATCTGTTTGTAGAATTGAAATGCATAGATGGCGCTAATATAAAAGTAAGCTTCCAAAACAAAAATGTTGTAAAATACAAGACAGGGTCAGACATAAGCACTGTTCATTAAACTTGGAAGGTCAATGCTTAATAGTGTGTTTGTTGAATTTAATATGACTGTCTCAAGATATGTTAATCACTCTTTTTCAAGGCTAGTTTTAGATGACCTAAGTTTCAAGTTAACATTCTGAAACTTACAACTGTGATTAATAAAAACTTTTGAAATGATTCACAGTAAATGTTAAGGGTTTAAAACATTGCAAAATAAGAAACATTATGTTTACTTTAACCAACAGGTTAAATGGTCATTATAGTCCCTTTTTTTTATGAAACATGGAAACATCAGTAAACATGTGATATTGATCTGCGATACTTTAAATATCTGATAGTTTACACATTCTTTGTTTGTCCTTTTCCTGAGGTAAATTATTATACTTTTGTATTTTGTGTCTTTTATTGGTTTTTACTAAGCTGGTTTTACTCGGAGTGCTGTCACTGTTACTTATTTCTGAATAAAAATGGTTTGTTTAGCAAATTTGTTTAGTTTTACTAGATTTTTCATGTAAATAACATTTGAATTTTGATATCAGACACAGAAAATTGACTTATTCTTTAGTTAGAACTAATTAACACAAAACACCAAAATATACATGCTCTTTACATTACTACATGTTAGTATTGTTGAACAATAGGTCCTTATGTCAGTATACCAAGATGTTGGTCATTTCAATCTAAAAATAAATTTGGTTTTAACACAGGAATTTCTTGTCATCTTGACAAATGTTTAATTTTTGTTTTTATAAGCCAGGTACAGCCCTGTGGTTAGCATGTAAGATTACAGATCCATAGGCTGAACTTTTAATATGCTGCTAGACATGCTCCATGCTTTCAGTTGTGGAGATGTTGAACTGAGACGATCAGCCCTACTATTTGGATGAAGAAACTGCATATGCAGTGGGTGTCACTTACTGATTGCCCTTCTCTTCCTCTGGTCAGAAGGTCTAAACTAGAATGGCTGTTTGTGAATTTAGGAGTCTGTGACCAGGCTGTTTGTTTAACCCATCTTACATTCAGGTTCAAAGTACCAAACACCCAATTTTCATATAAGAAATTATGTTACTGGTTAGTTATATCTTAAACACCATGGATTGGGAGTATCATAACATTTCTAAAGTTTATTGACAATATTATGCACAGGAAATGTGTTTAATGTGCAAGTTTTAAAATACAGTGCATTTATAATTTAAATACGAATTTATAGATATTATAAATTTGGTTAATGATCATGATTTATTATTATAGTATTCGACTGATTAGGTTCTTTATTAGGCTTGTCTTTTTTTACTCAAAACCTTAGGATAAATTTCTGAAAGATTTAGGTTGTAGAAGAAAACATGTAAAAAATGGGATAAAAGTTTTTGTATAACCAGTATTAAATAAGTTAGTTCTTATTCATGTAATGTCCTTGTTTAAGTCTTATTTTTAGCTTGGTTCAATTAAATTATGTTTCACGGTATAAGAGTAGTGTATGTAGGATTAATAAGAGTGTAAAAAATTTTGACATTTTTTGTTGCATGGAAAGAAATGGACCATTAGGTTTTTGTTGTTATAACAGTTTCTGTCATTGGGTGGGTTCTTTATTATTTGGTAAAACTAATATTAGCATAATCCAATCCATTTAAAGTAAAGAATAGTGTTCTACAATTTCACCAAGTGATATGCCTAACTCATAAAACTAAACAGGTACTTCTTTCCTTTCACATCTATGACATAAACTCAAAACTAGCTGACTAACACATTCACTAATCAACAACTACAAGTTTCTATATTATTATCATGCATATCACATTTATCCACTTACGAAGATTTTAGGCATCACACATCATGCCAAATGAACTCTCTCTGATAAACAATACAAAACGTCTAAATTAAATTGAAACACAGTCCACAACACTAGATTTTGAAGTGTCCTGAACAATAATATATAAATAAAACAATCCTTAAAATTCCATAATTGATAAGAAAATCACTTTTTACAATTAACAACTTGATAGAATCATATATCTGACATTACAATTATTGAATAAATATTGAAATATACAAAACATACAGTACAATCTTAACTTTGATCAACACAGATTTACTGTATCTAAATTGGCTTGTCTTTTGGTTGTCTTCTCTTCCATGATTTATGATACAAAGACAAGATGATCTCTTGTCCTTTACTGTAAGTTGGGGAGCTCTCTCTAGATAGATGGTTGTAGTCCTATTGATACTGTAAAGATGGACTTGACAGGAATCTTTGGCTCTCCTGCAGGTCGACTTATCTTGGTCAAAGTCTTTCTGAAACTAAGCAGTTTTATTCTCCTACTGACATTCTTTCAAGCATATTCACAACAGATGAACTTTGGTTTGGACCACCTATTCTTCTGGATTCTTTTCTGTTGCACATCAAGTTGGCTGTCTTCAATCTCTCTACATCCCTCTTAGTCACAGAAGGTGAAGTTAGTCATATATCACATATATATAATTCTACATAACGTCTATTCCCAATATCTCTTCCTCAATGTTTGGAGGCAATTTCCCATTTTTAATTACCAGATAGGGTCAAACACTTATAGCCTAGAAAAGTGTCAATGAACATACTGCAATGTTTCCAATCAACAGACCCTTTGAAACATCGACCAGCTTCTTTAAAGAATACATTCAGGAGCAGTCTCTAAAAATATGTTCTTTTTAAGTTGTAGTTGAATTGCCTCCTGTCCTGTGTTTTAATTCCTCCATCATGAATAAATGGCTGTAAGAAAAGGCTTTTGTCTGCAATTGCTGGCAATAGGCTCTTTTTAAATTTCAATTCAAACATCTTCTGTTGTATGGTTTACTTCTTCCATTCTGAGTTAACAACTGTGTAATGAATCATTTGAGCTTTTCTCGACATTCATTAGAGAATTGATGTTTCTACCCTATTTCATCTGGAGAATAACTTTAATTGATCCAAGTTCTACCTTCAACTAGTTATAGGTGTTTGAGAATGGAATTCTTAAGCAGATACAGTTAGATGTGTGGTTTCAATTCCTGCATTTGCCAGATGTCTTATTCTGTCACTGATGTTCCTTTCTATCTCACTGATTTTGCTGTTAAAATACTTCTGCATATTTTTATATTTCAGTATTTTTGTTTATCTCATGTTTCCTGAAAATTCAACTCATTTAAATGTCACATCATACATCATGGCAAAATATTAAAACCTAGTTCACAAAATTGTGTTAGCTTTAGGAAATTTTACATTATTTGTTATATATTTAATGATGTACCAAATGTTATTTTCTCAATAAGTCCTTTAGTCGTCTGTCAGTCTTAAAATAATATACAAGTAAAACTTGCATGCTCACCTTTTAACTGAATATAAATTTAGGACACATCCACATTTTGTATTGGTGTTAACCTCATACTTGGTTTATTTTTTTGTTTGTTGTAAATTTATTTTCAAATTAAGTTCTTGCATTGTTTTTCTTTCAGATTGAAAATACAAGTTTTAATTTACTATGGTCTACTGACCTAAATTGTAAATAGTTTATTACCTGTTATTTTAAAACTTTTTATTTACAAAATTGATTTTTAGCAATAACTAAACTTGTGAATTTTTCTCTCAGAAAATGGTGTGGGTATATCCAAAATGAAGAAAGTAATAAGTCAGACAGGATATAATTTTAAAATTCTTAATCAATACATTTTAATCACTATACATAATGTTATTACAATTCTTCTAGTGATTTTATGATGAGAATAATAATGCACAATTAGTCTGAGTATTCATACTAAAGTGATATTGGTCAGTAAGTGATATACTTTTAAATTTTTGCTATTGCTGGTTACAGAGGAAGTGTAGCATCTCTCCAGACTAGGTGCATTTAAATAAAACTTGGTAAAATTTTGCACCTCAAATTTACACTAAATGGAAAACATCAGAAGAGAATCAAGCCTATAAAGAAGACACATACACTGAGGTCAGGGAAAGTGAAATCGATCAGAAGAGAGCACAATTCAATAAAGTTGCGTCAAAATTCCAGCAGAAAGAAGCAAGATGGTACACTTTATGTCATCATTGTGATCCAGCAGATCCCCCAGTATACAAAACCAATTTTGGAAACTGGCACAATTTATTAAAAGGGTATCAAGTTGATATGTGATGGGGCCATAGGAGATCAAAGAACCAAACAATGAATAACTTAGTCATCAGTTAATGAAGGAAAAAGATTATGGTTTCATGCAGAGGTATACAAGCTAGCAACAAGTAGATAAATATGTGAGGAAATGAACAACAGAATATGACAGAGAGCTGATGAAATATGGCAGTGACACTGAATGAATTGGAGAGTTATTTGAGAAACAAAGAGGAATTCTGCACCAGACCCAGTTGGTGTTAGGTACTCCAATATCAAAAGTTTTTCAGGAAAGAGAAAGTAGAGCTAGCTAAAATAATAAATTTATCAATGATGAAAGGGAAAGAAAAATATGGAAAGACCCCACAGATGCTCAAACCCTTCAGAGACCATCATGCACTAAAGGGATATAATAGAATGTAAAAGGTATGGATAAAGTTAAAGGAAAAGTCAGCAGCAAAAAGACTTGTGCAAGACTTGGAGGAAAGAGACGGTCTGTATACCAACATGGAAGGCATAAACAATGAGACCCACAACCTCATACAGTGAGGCAGTAACTTAACAACACCCAGCAGAGTATGTAGACATCACAGCATTGCTGAGCTATTTGACCTTGAAGATTCCATACAATTGAGGGGATATTGGCAACAAAGTTAATGGCTCTAAAAGTATTGGATATTTGCATTCAATGGATATTGATTATGCTGAATACCAAGTATGGTCATTCAAAATTTGGCAAATGAACATCTGGGATTTTTTTACCTGCTCTGGCTTGTTACAAATTTCCCTGCCAAGCCCTACTATTTTTCAGCATATACACAGCTGATCTGCTCCATATACTGAAAGGACCCATAGTGACACCATACACATGTTGACAATCATCTCTCACATGCCAATGGAAGTGGTGAAGGTCCTTTCTAAAGCCACCAAAGGCCTCTGTCAATGAACTGTAAGTAAAAAAGAAAAAGTCCATCCAACCAAACTAATCATGTTGGATGTTGACTACCAGATCTCATACAGAGACACCTTTCTCTTCATACTTGCCAAGGCAAACAAGAGAGTTGCACATAAGTGTTGTGATGAACCACAGATTGATCATATGAGAAAAGTCTTACCCTTCTCAAATATGCTGCAGCCCAGAAAGTTCAACAAAGAACCTTCATCAATCTGACAAGTCATGAACAGAATGGAGTATGGAATCCACTTGTGTGTATCAGCAGCAAAGACCAAGTTATAGAGGGTGCAGATTGCAACCACCCTAACGCCCAGTAACACCTGCACTTTTGGCTTCGTTTGAGCAACATCACTGCAAAACAATGGGCTCTAGTCAGTCAAGTGCTGCTCAATTCAACCACAGTTATATCTCACCTGCTACATCAATACTTGAGAATGCAGATGAAGCAGTAATATAGAAACTGAAATTGACTGAGACTATGACAGATGAAGAGATACAAACAATGGAAAACAAAAGCATACTGAGTGGGTCCAGACAAATGACATTAAGTTAAACACAACAAAGACTAGCAGTAAGAAAGGGAAGAAAACACGAGGATTAGTCAACACAGCCAAACTCATAGAATGAGTATATGAGCAGACCAACAGATGGCTCAGTGAAAATGACTTGACTGCATGGGTACCTTGATGGTAAAGCACAACCCTTGGGTGACTTGTTAAGATCTTCAAATAATGTTGTCAATAAAACAGCAAGTAAGCTAAGGGAATAGGAAAAGGTGTAATAGGTTAAGTTATGGAAAGAAGATGGAAGTACAGAAATGGATTGAAAATATGTGGAAAGATAGATCTTACTTAAGTCATACTAAATTGAGAATTATAACTAGAAAAACCTTGATGAGATTATTGGAGGGAGGAAAGCCTGTGCTAAGGCCAGTGTAAAATAGTAGTAGTAGTAGAGTAATATTAAAATAATCTTATTCATATTGGGTACACAGTAATTAATAATAATAATATTTAAAATCAAGGTGGCTACTACAAGCTTGTTGCCTCCTCGTATTTGTTGGTTCAGAAATATGGATGGTACAGCTAAATCAACTGAAATAATGCATAAATTTCAGTTACAAGCATTTATTCATAATATTAATTATATGTGTAAATTAATGTAATACTCAGTGTAAACTCTCCAACTGGATCATATCAATACATTAATCTGACAGTTTACTATACCTCCTCCTTAAAACATAAAACTATTCAGAGGAATGTATGCATAATATATACAAAAGAATCCAAAAAAAGAAGCTGTTAATAAATTTACATGGTTTACAACCAGAAAACACTGAAGAGATCAGCTTTGTTGTTTTATAAACCATCATGAAACATGACTTGTCATTTGTTTTCCAGTCAACCAACTGCAAAGCTTAAATGTGTTTCTCCAAGTCTGACTTACATTATACTTCATCACATTAACATATAATTTTGAAGCCATAGTATTGTTTCATGTCTAAAAAACTATAGCTCATGCAAAAATGTAAATTCATACAACAAGCTTCTAGTTGTCATTCCAGGTTTTGAAGAAAAGTTGTATCTTGGAGAATTCCTTATATGAATTGTTTTTGATGAAAACAGTATTTTGTTTCTGGATCTCACTATACATATGTAGCAAGTTTGGCTACTTTAAATTACTAATACTCTTTTAATACACGTGGACAACCAAATCAGCACCAGAACACACGATGAATGCATAGAAATCACCAACATCACAAAATAAAAACTGCAGAAAATTTCCAATTGTATAATCCTAAAAAGTATATACTGCAGTAATAACCAAAACACAATGAAGATATCCCTTCTCTTCAGTATCTGTTCAAGTCAGGTGAAAAAATTAGGAAACATACGATAAAAGAGAAACAGAAAAGGAATGTTAGACAAACCTGCAACATCCCAAGTCACACTACCACTTACTATCCAAGGCCAATTGTGGGCATAATAGTATATGCAACACTATAACTAAAGTACGTCTAATATGGTACCACATGATTTTCCAACGGACCACTCTTAAGGCATTAGTAATTCAAATTTATTTAAAAATTTCATGTTACTCCCATTTCCAACCCCATCAATGTATAAAAGTTAGTGTTACCCAATACACAGAAAGAACCAGCTTATCCACCAGTTAGAGATATATTGCTTATGAAGAACCAATTTCTAAACTTATATTCATACACGTAAAAAGGAAGGCAAAGTGAAGGAGAAATTACAATAACTTGGAAATTTCAACTATTTACACCAGCAATACAAACTAACAAAAATCCACAACTCACCACAGCAGGAGAAAAGTCACTTTAGTAGCTTTTTGAAATGACCAGAGCTCCAATTTTAATAACAGTAGAGTTGGTTTAGTACTTGCCTTTGATTAATCATCAAGATGCTTAATACAGTTGGAAGTTCATGTGGTACCATATTAGAACTACTTTAGATATAGTGTTGCATGTACTAGTATGCCCACAAGATGCTTTCAAAGCATTCTGGGCTATGCATCTTACTTGATGATCATGAAAAAATTGGTATGTACAGGTTTGCCCCTTATCTAAATACATGTCTAGCAGCTTCAATATGGATTTTACATTTATACTGGTATGCACATTGGTACAAATGAGGACAGTTTGTCAATTGAGCAAATGTATTCTTGTAGATATAAAGGGTAGTGTACTGGATATTACAAGATGGAATAACATTTTAAACCAGAAAAAAGTCAAGAAACTCAATTTTACCTTAAAATCAAATTAGGTTTGAATATTAGTGTGGAAAGTTAAAACATTTACCCCCTCCCTTTTATTCATATTAAAATAGATATCCTTTACAAGAAAAAACTTATGTACTAGTTTGCTGATAGGAACATAATAGGATATCCATATGCAAAATTTTTTATCTTTACCCTAACGTATAAAAAAAAAACAAGGTTCACCCAATATGTAAATAAGCAATATGCTAATTTCCATTAATATATCAAAAATTCTTTTATGAACTATGCATAAATAGATAATTTGTTGTGTGTATATATAAAAAATCCAGTACTGATTTATGTTTTTGTTGACAACAAAACGACCTTTTTCAATTGACATATTACTGTAAATTTCAAAACATTTTCAGGACTAATTATGAAAATCCCAAAGAGTAATGTACCAAAAATTGTTTATTATAATAAAATAAAAAAACATTCTCAATGTTACATCAGTAAAGAATTCCTTCTAACATTATGGTTTTATAAAGGAAACATAAAATAAGACTGAAATAAAATAATAAAAGTGCACATCATATTAGAAATATTTACTCAACAAACAAACAGAAATACACTGTACCTGCTAGCAGCATATTTATATCAGTATTTTGTTTTACTGTCCTCTATTTATAAATTTTTACAAAGCCATGTGACACAGACAGACAGTTAAAAATTGGAACTGTTAAACAAAAGTAAATAATTTGAAATAGCTACACAAAATACAATAATGCTGGTTCCACTCAAGCAAATTTCAATACTGTTAAAAGGCAAACTTAATAAAATGTTTATTTATCCAGTTTCGAAATGGTACACAATCTTGAGGTATTTATATCCAATGAACCCACAGCTTGGCATAAAGATAGGAAAGCATCTTAATGTGACATCCACTAGATAGATAATGGCACCGTGCCTATACGTGCATGCTATTTTACACAATAAATAAAAATGTTTTGTATATGTAAAATTCAGAAATATTCACATGCTGTATTGTTATAAAAGCTCCCATCTATCAAAACAATTGCAAAATACAAGACCAAGTATGTAAACTGAATGTACTTAAAATATGGCTTTTAGACCTAATACTAAACACTATTCTTTACTAGGGTTTGGCAATCAGTGGTGGAACTTGCAACTTGATTAATCATTGGGCAGGCTCATTAAGTGATTATTCTCATGAGATGGCTAATAAAAACTAAAAAATTTAGTTTTCATACCTGTGGTGGGCAGAGCACAAGTAACCCATTTTGTAGTTTTATGCTACAGAAAGATAATGTAATTATTCTAATTACTTGAATAGTTTAAATAATATAAAATGGCAATATCTGGAAATTTTAATATTGATTATATGATTATTTTCATGAGTAATGACACCAGATAATTAAGCTGAACAAACCTGAATTCATTGAAAATATCATAGAGGTACTATTTCATTTACTAAATAATCAAAAACAGGAACAATTAGAAACACCAATTTTTATTAGTTGATTACTTTTGTAAATTAACTGATTTAACCATAACTTTGATTACTGGATAGTTGTAAAAATTGAAAACTGATTTTCAAGTCATTAACTGATTTAACCCTATGCACTCACCTTGGTCAAGGTGCACGTATCGTGACATTTTATGTATATTCAAAATTAAATTAAACAGCTTTATTATCAACATATCTTAATAAACTTTGCCTTAAGATGTAGTAAATAAAATCAAATTTTGACTTAAGTTTTAATTTATTAATTTTGAGAGGAAATACTTGAATAAAATATCAATCTTCACCTTTCTCTCCCTTCCGTTATATGGCTTTCAAGAGTGTCCAACCAATTACAAATGCAAACTATAGATAATGAAAGACTTGAATATAAAACTTTAACCTCCTATCTTTCAATTTGCCAAGATATAAATATTTGTTTAACCTTTACATATCTTAGAAAAAGCATTGAACTATAATTTTTCACAAGACAATCTGTGATACAAGTAAAGGTTAATGTGGATTTTACAAATGCAAATTAGTTCAATAATCTGAAAGAGATCAAAGTAAGACGTAGGGATCTTGTCATGTATATGCGAGATAACCTATTTTCAAGAATATTAAGAAAGAAATCCCAATTTGCTGCTGTAAAACTCTCTTTTTTTTTTCCTATTCATAGAAAGAAGTAGTAATGTTCATATTTATGTATCCTGCACGAGTGTAGTTGAGGTTCCCATCAACATATACAGTATTGTAAGTTATTATGAAGGCGTAAAGAGGAAATAGTGTGGTACTACTCCCTCTCTATTGTATGAAACTGAATTGCACTAGAATAGTCATGTTTGATAGTTTATACTATAAATGGCTGTCATCCAACCAGTGTTATACCAGCATAATACCTATAAAAGTACAAGCAGTCAATCATACGATTCTCAGAAATGGTGTAGTGAATGCACTTACAACTCCAAAGACTAAAATTCCACATGACAGACATGTAGGAATCAAACCTATTTATAGAAAACAACAATGTCCACAAATCTGCATTTAAAATGTCATATTTCAGTAGGAGCTGTATGGAAACTCTGAAAAGTAGCTTCAGTGGTTTTTGTAGCTGTTCAAAAACCACTGCTAAGGAGAAAGAGCTAAACCCAAAGTCTGAAATGGGCATAAAAGTTCAAACAATTGGATAAGCAAAGTCATATGATGGCACTCTTTACAGATAAATCCAAATTAAAATTGTTTGTTAAGAATCAATAACTGTTTGTTGGCAGAGAGGAGAATGGTATCAGAATCAACATATAACATTAGTGAAACATGCTGGAGGACCAATACAAATGTGTTATACCTCAGTCAGTGATGTTGGAGATCTACAGAAAACTGATGGCACCCTGACTGCTGACAAGTAGAATCAAATTCTTATTCATTATGTTATTCCCTCAGGATCAAGACCTTTTGGCAGGGATTCATCTTCCAGCAAGACGTTGATCTCCAGGATGCAACAAACGTGATGCAATGATACCTGAAAGGAAAAAAGTCTGGTATGAATATTACTAAAGCTATATAGACTTATGTGGAAACTAGGAAGATCAAATGGCAACCAAACAACTTGCCTGACTAATGGTAGTAACACAGACCATTTGGAATAATATTTCAACCCTGCATTTTATCTATTGTAATAGTATAAGAACAAGGTGTACTACTCTGTTTAACTTGATGTATCCAGGCCTGGCTCTTTTGTGTATGTCAGGACATTTTACAAAGTGACATCAAAATTTAATTAAACAACTTTATTATTAATGTTTCACAAAATTAGCATCAGAAAGTAGTTTATAATCAAAATTTTTATATTAACTAAGTTTAACTTTCATTGGAAAATAACACATTTAAAAAAAATGTCAATTTTCAATTTGTTGTCATGTGATTTGTGAACTCTCTCAATTCGCCTTTTAATTTGTATAACTTCAACTGTATAGTATCTAAACTGTCCAATTTATGTGGCCACAATCTATACATAATTCCAAGGTTTAATGTACAGTTTCAATGCCCCAACTTCTCCATTTAATAAAATGAATACATTTTTCCAACCCATGACACAAATACCACCTATCTATCCTTAATTTTCAAAACAATGTTATTAGATGTATATGTTTGCAACCAATAAGGAATTTATTTTCAATTTCTGGCTTACAATGGTTCTTCTGAAATTGGCAGAGAGCCTTAAGGCTAGAGGTAATGACTGTGTGCATGTTAGAAGTGACGAGTATGCTCTTAGAATTTAACGATTGTTTTTTTTTAATCTATTCACAGCTTAGTTAGGAAGGCAGTTAAATCATCAATGATTTTGGACATTCTATTTCACTCATTTCTTTATCATTTATGTTTTAAAATGCATACCTGAAAGATTTCTCTTCAAATAACTTAAATATAATTTTAATGAGTTAGCTCACTACACTACAACTACAGAATTTCATGCACACAGCAGAAGCATTTATGGGAATCTACTAATATCTTACCACTGATGTGTTGCTTTTCAGGGATGAATAGAATGCTTGTTGTATAAGCTGGGCAATAAAATTAAAATTCAGAATAAGCTATAACTATACAAAAGGTAAACAGCTCAGCTGATATTTTGAACATCAGCAACAGATAATGTGTCAAAAATTACATATTCAAAAACAATAGGTTCATTTTATTTCATAATTTTTAAAATTTCAATTCACTGTACACTGATGATTCAGTTACGGTTAGTATTACAGTAGAGAAAATAACCTACAAAAGTTATAATCTTCTTATACTGAAAATGTATTTCCAATAGGTACTTACCTCCCCTCACATAAATAGCTATTTTCCTTCAGTGCTGCCCTCTAAGTTACAAATATCACTATTGTATAATAAGAGTAAACTTGTTGAGAGAAAGTAAAATAAAACAATTGAAGAGAGTACAAACTAAATGTTACAACATGAGTACTGTCAAACGAGAAGTGATAGTTTGGTAGAATTGAATAAGGGGGAGTCACATGCATCAAGAAATATGTCGCACTCCTATTGGTGGAGGTTTATCGCATGATGACTTGCATGCGAGATGCATTTGAATAGTCAATTCCAAATGGGTGGGAACGTCAAGTCTTGTAGTATGAACAAAAAATATTTTCATATAGAGGGCAGCACTGAACGAGAATAGCTATTTATGTAAGAAAAGGTAATGTATTATATCGGAATAGAAACTTTTCCTTTAAAAGAACTTTTGATATTCATTTAGGACGTTCTAGAGGTTAGGTAAACAAAATATGAAAACTAAAGTGAAAGAAGTATCTTTATTATTAGCATTGTATGTTTATTGTCAGACTTACTCAGAAAATTTACAGAAAAATTCTTAGTAAAAACAGTTATCAATTAACTTGATGTGTACAACAGACTTTTAATGTTTATTAAAAGATTACCAAATTGTGTAGATGCATGTGTTAAATTCAGAATTATAGTATGTATAGTTCCACAGCTACATGGTTGGTCAAAATGACAAAGGCCACATGCATAGGGTTAAACTAAATAAAAATACTAATGCATTATAAAAGTTACTTGCTTTTTTTATATTTACTCTGCAACAACACATTGTACTAATGATAAATTAACAAGTTAGTTACAACTCCTGTATAAGCATCATCATTTGTGTGCTTCCATAATTATTTATGGTATGTGTAGATGTAATACTGAATGTCACTACTACCAAATAAAGAAATATTTTTATTTTGTATGTATGCATGATCAGAATATGAAAAGCATGAAAATTCATAAATGCACAAAATCAGACTATTTGAACCAACATGATAGTGAAGTTTGTATAATTTGGACTGTACTGATACTGAAGTTCCAAAATAAAGAAAAAATTTCCACACTGCATCTGTATGAATCATTATTCAAAATTATCATATTCAATGCTTTTATTCAAAAAATGGTATATTTGAGACTGCTCAGCTAAACCAAAGATATCTTATTACAAAAAGTATGTAATATTTTAAAAACAGTTAATACACTGCAATCTTACAAACAGCAAGGACTTAGCACAATGAGCAATACACAAATATATTTAAATGTGATTGAGTGTGAAGATTACAATATGTTTCGTAAATGGTAACAATGAACTAATGTTGGAACATCACAAAATCTGGTGAAAAAACACTCCTCTTAGAAAGTTCTAGAAGGCAGATAACAAATGACTTGTTTATAAATACTTCGCTAGATGTCAATGTTCTGCATCCGCATCTTCAAACTGGGCTACATCCATGGGTTCTTCACACTCATCTGGTAGTTTAAAAAAAATGTAGTCTTAGCCCAACATTTCTAGAAATAGCTTTACACTTAGATCTCTATATGCACAGCAATTGTAGACTTCAAATTCACTTGATCAAAAACCCCCAAAAAAAAAAACCTATATAACCTATGAAAAGAAATTTATAGTACCATTAACTAGATCCTTAATAATATTCTTTTTTATGTTAATACTCCATCTGAGGTCATTTTAGTTTTTAACTCTCCACATTCTCAATCTTATCTCCCAAAAAGGTGCAATTATATATATATTCCCATCAAACAATGAATAAATACCAGTCAACCTCTGGTGTGACCTTTGAAAAACTTGCTGTAAACATCAATTTGCTTCCAGTTTTTACATGGACAGGAATAATTAGCTCACACACTAAATTACATGAAGTTTATATAATTGTGCAAACTTACTCTACATAAAATATACATCCAGATTTAGTTTTTATATGATGCTTGAATTGAAAATAATTTCCTTAATTCCAAAAATTTAAACTTGTCAATGTTAAATTTTAAAAAATAACTAATTCCATATGTATAGTTCTGTTTGTATTCTCTTACATAATTCAGTATGAATACAATTACAAGTAACCAATAGTATGATCATATGGTAATCAGAGTAAAAAAATATTTCTAAACAAAAAATTAGATAAAATCTTACATACAGAAGTAATCAGTTCACTTACCACCACAAAAGTCATCCCGTGGAGCGTCCACATGACCACAACCTCTCTCTGCTGCTGCCACATCATATTCAGCCCCAGAATCATCTTCTGCATCCTCAAAGCATCCCACTTCATCTATTCAAAAATATGTATTATTTACTAGATGATTCTACGAGTACATATGTTAGTAAAATGTAGTTTAAGTTCTTGAAAACATTAACTTTATGTCTGACTTATTTTTAGGATTTAATCTACTCAACATTTCCCAGTCACTCAAAATAACATTAATATTGGGTGTTACATTTACACAAGTTTGATCAATTTCCTTTAACTTAAGACTTTTTTTACTTTACTTAATACCAAATTAAGAAGCCTTTAAAAAAACGTTTTCAAGACTTTAGATAGTTTAGTACAGGAGTCGGCAATCTGTGGTTCTAGGGATTTATTCTTACTATGAAGAAAAGTTGAGAACCTTTCAGGGCCAATGGGTGTTAAAAATTTAATCACAACATTTTCAATTTTTTATTTAGAATAAAGTCATGCTGTTAACATTCTAGCTTACTCCAAAGGCTTAGTTGGAGATAAAAAAAAATCTATCCACTGATGGGGAATCAAACCCCTGATTTTTAGCATTGTAAAATCAAAGACGTATCACTGTGGAACCCCATTTTTCTCAGGTTAGACTGCTAGGACATGTTGCAGCTCTCAAAATGTTTTGATCTTGAACAAAAACGGAAGAATGGTTCTTCTTTGAAAGGTTCCAACCCCTGGCTTAGTATGAAGAATTCTTTATCTCACAAAACATTCATAGAATAAAATAGCACACACTAAAATCTCATATTAACACAGAGGTAAAATAATGTAAAATATAAACTTTTTTGAATATATACGTCAGTGAAATTGAAAACGAGTGTTTATATAAAATGATTTAAAAACACTCATTTTATATAAACACTCATTCTCAACATATGCAACCTGCAAAAGCTGAGAAGCACTTATACAAGACACCAAAGAAAACATGAGAAGACATTAAGCCGACTTAAAAAGCTTTGAATTTATGTTTTCTGTTTCCAATACTGCAATTTATTATTATGATGATGCTATTTAAAAAAATATTAAGAAACTAATATGCATCACTTACAGAAATTAAAAGTAATAGCACCAAATACTTTGCTTCCAAAAAGTTAAAAAAACATGATAGTATGTGAATTATACTTAAGATAATTTTATGTTAATTCAACTTTAGCTACTCTGGTAAAACTCTATCATTGTTTACCATCAGAATACGAGTCATCAGGGTCTGGATGTAAAGCTTGGCAGTCCATCATGGCTTTAAACATCGCATCCACTATAAAACAAATATATATATGTAGAAACTAATATACGAAATAAGAACTTTTATATTTCTTTTTTTTACATACACATATAATACAACTATAGAAACAGCAGGAGTTAAGATTTTTCAAATCTAAACATTTTCCTTTGTTCAAAAAATAGATAAAGTTTACAAAAATATTCTACACAAGTGACTATTTGACAACTGAAAATGAAGACGTGAAACATTGGATTCAACCATATAATCATTAACACATAATACTGCTGGTTATCTTGTTGTTAAGATCATTTCTTATTATTACAACTTAAAGGTTGGGAATCTTAAAACGAATAATGATGAATGAATTTACTCATTAAAACCATTTTTGATGCAGATGTATGTAATAGGAAAAAACTAAAAACAAATACACTGTGTTTACAATCACTGGTGTACAATAAACAATTACTTTTTTTATCATACAAAAATTATAAGTATCCAACTTTTTTTAATCGTTAATAAGAAGGTTTCATTCAATATATGTAATATGTTTTAAACTTGTAATCATTTATGCATCCCCCCCATTTCTTTCTGGCAGTTTTCTTTGCTCATTCAATAATTAAGGACTAATGTAAACATGGCCCAACAGTGGCCTTGCTGGCAAAACAAAATATGATATGGTGTAGTTCAAAATGATCTAAGCCTACCTCATCTTGTTCCATGAAATATTTTTTTTCTAACTTATTGCAACATCATAAATGAAATAAAGTATAAAATTATAAAGCAAGTTCTTTGCATGTTTTAAAAAAATAGATAAATGAAAAAATGATGTTATCAATCTCTTATTAGATACGTTACAAAAGCATCAAACTGCACTAAAATATATCAGAAAAACATTCCTAAACCAGCATATAGTTATTATTCTACTGAACCTGAAAATCAAATAAAGTATTACAAAGTTTTCATAACTGCTTCATAGAATCTTGATAAAAGAGTTAGCACAAAGGATCACATATAAAGTGCAATAAACTTAAAATAAGACCCAAAACTCGGGTGCTTTTGAATAGTTGATTATTCTTTATTAAACAAATTTTCAAAGGTCAGTACGGAGAGTCAAAATACGTAACAGTAAGGTTTGTAGGTCATTAAAACAGTCATAAGTGGTAGTTGAGTTCCGTTTGAGGTCGTTAGTTCCAACATGAAGAATTAGGTATTCTACAGTCTGTGGCAGTAAAGATATACAGTCTAAAAGGTCAAGTAAAGTGGCTCCACTAATGGATTTAATTAAAACATGTTGGTCTTTAACGTAAGAAATGTGTTGATACAGGTATTTAATAGAATCTCCAAAAATGGCAATGTAAGGTGAAAGAAGAAGTAACTTACCATTGGTAAAATCGGGTCCGTGGTCCATGAGTGGAATATCAATCTTGATAAAAGAGTTAGCACAAAGGATCACATATAAAGTGTAATAAACTTAAAATAAGTCCTAAAACTCGAGCGCTTTTGAATAGTTGACTATTCTTTATTAAAATTTTTCGAAGGTCAGTATGATTGATACTATTAATAAACCTCGGTTTTGTCTATGCTACTAGATGAACGAGATGATCCTTCATAAAGATTTTAATTACATACTTATACTTACATACTCCAGTGTTTTCAGGAACAAAACGAACTTCAGATGTCTTACTTTCCTCATCCTCTTGACTCTCTCCATTTTGTTCTTCACCTGCAGCATAGTAAAAACAAAGTTCTTTGTTTCATGTCCTAAATTCTTATATATCAAGTCAGCTAATCTTAAAAAACAGTATTAAAAATTAACATTTTAAAAAACATCAGAAATAATAAGCAGAAAGGAAACAGTCCTACACAAGCTACTGTATGATTTGATTTTGATTTGGGAATTGACTGAACTATTCCAGAGTATATGGGACACGGAGCAAATCCCTCAGCGATTGAAAAATGCCAGCATCGTCCGCATTTATAAAGGTAAAGGTAGTCATCACGCATGCGACAATTACTGAGGCATCTCCTTGCTATGTATTGCCGGGAAAATAATGGCACGCGTGTTGTTGAACCGTCTGCAGCAGCATCTTGAGAGAGGTCTTCTCCCTGAAAGTCAATGGACCTGATGAAAGCTTTCGATACGGTATGTGGAGAAGGACTTTGGCGCATAATGCGTAAGTTCGGTTGTCCCACGAAGTTTGTCGCTGTAGTTCGTCAGTTCCATGAAGGTATGATGGCAAGAATGCTCGGTGACGGAGAAGAATCCATAGAGTTTCCTGTGTCCGGTGGCATCAAGCAGGGTTGCGTGTTGGCACCAACACTGTTTAGTATGTATTTATCAGCATTGCTGTCAGACGCCTTCAGGGATGGTCCGAGC